CACAAAGGTAGGCCTCAACTTCCCCGTGGGCATCACATTTCACCGTAGCCCATCCTGGGGCGCGGAACCACGGGTGGCCGTCCTTGGTCACACTGCCGTCAACATAAGCCTCGCCAATAAAAGCTTCCGGAAGCGAAAAGCCGTTTCGGGACCAAAACTGGGCCTCGGCAAGGCCAAGACCAATGGGCCTCGGCACCTTATAGGGCGGAGGCCCAAGAACACCAGCACAAAAAGCAAAGGCCTGCGGGCCCCTCAGGTCTTCAAGGCCGCCTTCAGCAAGGCATTCTTCCAGAAGCTCAGCCACAAATGCAAGTCGTGTCCGCGTCGTAGCGCGCACTCTGGAGTCTAAACTTGGTCCAAATTGATTGGGTCAGGTACGACGCGAGAAGGCTACGATCTTGTTGATCAAATCGTTTGTCGGCGAGAGCTGCGTTATCATGATTCATGTCGACTCCAGACACCCCCATCTTTGCTGCCACAGTCTCGGCCTGCTGCTCCTGCCAAGACGCCTCGAGCATGCGGCGAATGGGGGAAGGCGAGCTGGTGGTGAGCGGGTAGACCTCGCCTTGCCTGCTCGCGTGCTCCATGGGACTGATCCACGACCAGCCAGCTCTGGGTAAACTTAAACAGACAGCACCTTGGGGGCCTCTGATATTTCCCCACCCTGAGGGTGGCTTTTTCCAGACTGGTTGCGGCGAGTTGCCTATGTTCGGGAAGCCTGAACTTGGATTTCCTTGGACCGTGGGCAGCCCTGAAAACTATCATACTCCAGTAGATGCACGGCCCCACAGCTGATGTCCAGGCGGGGTCTTCAAGAGCAGCAAGCGACAGGGCACGCGACCGAGTAGCACACTTGGGCCCCGCTACCTTGAAGAACACATTTTGCGCATCCTGGAACCCTGAGCCGCGGGGCCCCGAATGTCGGCCCCGAAATAGCCCGACTGCTGAAGGCCAGTGTTCCAAATATTATTGGCGTCTGCTCCTGCGGCGCGAAGGGCTCGTAATCTGCGGAGTCGATTATTTAACTTCCCGTTCCTGGCCCTGGGAGTTTTCCTTCCCTTATTCCTTAGTCTGGCCCCCGCAGCGAAATCAACTCCTAAGTTGGTGGCGGCAGGCTCGATCTGAAAGGCCTGAGGGCCTGTCGACTGGCCACGTTTAGCTGCGATATCGGCCTGGAACATCGGCGCTGAAGCCACAACAACAGCCTTCTGCTTAGCGAAGTCACAGTTCAGATCGAGAACGATCGCCTGGTGCATACTAGCTGAGGCCGTGGCAAGGTCTGCTGTCAATATGATGGCTGCGCGCGCGGTATCTGCGCCACCCAGATGTCTAAGGGCGGCAAGCAATACTGTTGAACAACAAAAGTGGCGGCCCAGCAGCCTGCCGCGATGCCTCTGTCAGGGCCCCCAGCAGGTAACGCAGAAACGGGAGTTGCAAGTGTCCTGGGCGCCTGGTACTGTTTGCTGGTAACTGCTGCGAGCGAGTCCGAGAAATTGGTCTCCTGGGCCCGGCCCCTCCAGAGCCCCCTGTCAACATATTCGTAATAGCTTGATGAATTCCACAGAACAGCGGCAGAGAACACTTTCACCTTTCCCAAGAAATACCCTTCAGCTTTCATGATTTGCGCGAAAACCAATTCCAAAACTCCTTTACCTGCTTGGTGAGCTAGAAACCTACGATGATGGGCCCGTTCCCAAGCTCGAAACTCGACTTGTCGATGTTTGCCCCAGGCACTCCAGGGCCCTGGCATCATACCTATACCCCTGTAGCTGGGGCCTGAGTTATGGCCTGGCTTGTGATGTTCGATGAGGACAGTGACGATGGCCCTGATCTGCGTCGGGAAAGCACCAACTCTTTCAATGGCCCGGAGGAGCCGACGCACGATATCCAAACGGGCGTCCTCCAGGAAGCTGAAATGCCTAGGGTGGATCCCGTCCCAGGTCCTAGCTGTGGAGCTGCTGAAACACGGACTGGCTGCACGTAACTGATTGGCCGAAATATATGCGAGGTCATCTGCTCGCAGCTCTGCTTGCAGAAGTGCGGGCTCGTGAGGACGAGCGCGCCGAGGCTTGCTGGAACGTTGCTGGTGGGCCTCCAACATATCGACCCGGCGGCCTGACCAGCGGGACTTGGCTGGGCTCCACACACTGGATGGTTGCCAGGCTGTGAGTTTACTACTCCGACGATGGGCCCATCCAACTCCTGGCCCCATGGCTTCTTTAACCAAGAGCTTCCAGGACTGCCGATCATCAGCTCGGCCCCTGGCGATCTCACGGCCCAGAGCTCTTTCATTCTCAGAGTCCAGGTCCTCGAACACTGTAGCTATGAGCTCGAAATTTGGCTCGCTGGTGGTGGCGCCCAGAAGTGACCTGAATACACGTGCGAACACATATTCGCAAAGTTTCGAACTCTGATACAACTTCTTAATCACTCTTGGCATGGTAGCAAGATCGAGTTGGGCCTGCTGGAGCTCCTCTAGATCCTTCTCCTCAATCCCCCTCCTGATGTTGATGTCCTCGTTGCGAAGCCACCTGAAGGTTGCTGCCGCGATTATCCAACTCCTCCTGTCTTTGGCTTCGGATCCAGCGAACTGTAGGCACCTGAGCTCGGCGCCTCTTGCTTTTCAGAGGGGCGTCGGTAATGTTGCTGAGCGCTGTGGACACGTCGTCCACCAAGATGCCGCAGGAAGCATGAACAGCTGCAACTAGAGCGTCCAAAGAAACAAGCTGCACTGGCACTGGCTGTCCTGAGTCCCCAAAGACGGCATATCGATCACGGTATTCAAGAATGCCCTCCAAGAGTTCCAGAGCCCCTGAACTTCTGGACCAGGGTGGGCAGGTATTACGAAGTCCCACGGGGGCAACCACAGGAATGTATTGAGGCTGTTCTAGAACGGGTGCGAGATACGGGGCCCCAACCACCATATCCATCACGCCTGGCCTATGAGGGCTACTTGGGTAGTCCGTCAAAACTTCGGGCTGCTTCAGGAAGTGTTCGAAGCAGTGCGAGCCCATGGAGAAATCCATGGTAGATTGCGCCTTCTTAGTGTATAACGTGGTGTTATCTGGCGTGATCACCTGGGCCCCAGCCCTGGTCGGGAACTCCGCTTCGATCACTTTGCTAAGATTGACATGGAAGTCGCCAGCGATCAGCATCGGCACGCGCTTGCTGGAGGCGGCCTGGGACACCCGGGCAAGCGCGGCGAGGTTGTCATCATTCCGGCCGACGGAGTCGGCCAAGTAGATGGATCCTAGGAAGAAAAGCCGATGTCCTGGGACCTCAGGGCAGACAAAGGTTGCCCGAGACTGCTGGGCACCTTCTGGCATATGTACTTTGCGGATGCCAAAATTCGAGCCCGTCGCGTACTAGTACACCAGCACCCTGACACGGGAACCCTTTGGCACTCAGAACCGCAGGCGACAAAACTGCTAACCACCCCCTGTTAGCACGCAATTCGTTCTCCCTGGCCAGATCTTGCACTTGGAGGCGAGTTTCCTGGCAGCAGACAACCTGGACTGATTTCGCCTCCTTGGATCCCAAGAATTTCTCAATGCCATTCCAGCTACTGCAGTTGAAAGTGCAAGTCGTGAGAATGTTACCCAGGCGACGGCTGCGCCGCGCCCGAGCCTGCATTGCCAGCGCCAGCGGGGCCGGACTTGGCCTTAGCGCGGCGCTTGGCGAGCCTGCCCTGCGCTGCGACCGCCTCCTCGTTGAGGCCGTAGATGTTCGTGAATGGCCACGAGACCATCTGTTGCGAAAATCACGCTGCTGGTGGCTGCCTACAGCACCTTGCGCGTCAGATGTGTTGCCTGCGGCGCGGGAATGATGGGATTGAGATTTGAAAGACTTGCCACATTCTGAACAATGCTTGCGACCACCAGCCCCATGCCAGGTCCACCCCCAGCAGCTCGGCGCACGGTAGTACCATTTCTTCCCATGCGTGGAACCCGTTGCAGCGGGGGGGCCGACTGGCCGCTCGCGGCTGCCACCAATAAAAGACAGACAAAGTGGCGGAGAGGACGGGCGGCTACCCTGGGCCGAGGCAGCCGAGCCTGTGGAAGGGGCTGCCCTTCCACCTCGGCCTCGAGCCTCTGTGGCCGGGACGAGGAGGAGTTCCCGTCTTGAGCCAAAACGGCCGCGGAGGAGGAGGGGGAGGAGGAGGAGGGGGAGGAGGGGGAGGAGGGGGAGGAGGAGGAGGAGGAGGAGGAGGAGGAGGAGCGAGAGAACGAAGAGGAGGAAGAGGAGGAGGAGGCACAGCGCCGTGCCGCGGGTTCCCCCCCTCTCTCTACGCTGCCACCGGCGCCACTCTATTCAGATCTACGGCTCTTCGAGCTGCTTTCGCCATTGAAAGGGCGACGCTCGAGGCCAGTTGGGGGGGGGGGGGGCATCAGGGGCTCTGCACGCATGCAACATGCGGTGGGTCTGAAACATCCACGCTACATCCCCCATGCGCTCAGGCGAAGGGGAAACGAGTGAGAGAGCAACAAGGGGGGGCGGAGGCAGAGGGCATGGATACATCCTCTCTACAAGGCCGCGGAAGTGAGGACACGCGGAATAATGCTTGAGACTGCATCTCGCTTCGCAGCCCAAGAAACACCTACGGTCGGGGTTCTGGGGACGGGTGTCGGCAACCCAACCACCTAGCCAGGTCTTGGCGCACGCGGCCCTCCAGGCTGGGGGGGCCCCAGCAAAGCGCGCGCGCACCAAGGCCCAATCAATGTCAGCAAGCTCTCCGGGGGCTACTGGGAACCATCTGGGGGGCCTCCTGCAAATCAGCTCAGGGACCGAGGCTCTAAAAACCTCACTCTGTACTAGGATGCTGATGACTCTGCTCTGAATTGGACTGCAGCGAACGTCCCGCCCCACCCCCCCACCCCCCCCCCCTATTCCCTCGCGGGCGCGCGGCCAGGCCCCTGCGGCCAGGCGCGCGTCGGGGGGGGGGGGGGCGTGCAGCAGGCCCCCTCGCTCACTGCTCGAATCGTGCGAGCGAACGGCGGCGCCTGCCAGAACACGGGCCAAGGGGTCGCCACGGCCCTGGGCAGGGGCAGCGTCTCCATCGCCACCTCGTCGATCCTGCTCGCGACTCCGCGCCGCGTGGAGACCGTCGTCGCGCCCGCTCGCATCCTCGAGGCCAGCGCGAACGCCTTCACGGGGGTGATCTGCGGCGGGCCGAGCTGAGTCAGGTGGGGGAAATCGCTCCGCCGCAACAAGCTTCCAGACGCCCGCGGGAGCCTGGCGAGGACGAACTGTTCGTCGGCATGGAGAGCCTGGGGCAGCGAGTACATCTGCGCCTTGTAGCTCAGCGCCGTGATCATCTTTGTCTGGTAGTCTCGGAGCAGCGTCGTTGGGTCAAACGGGGTGGCGGCCGCAGCGGTGGCACGCTGGCGCCACTTGGTGGGCGGGGCCCTTCCACTACTGCTTCAGTGTCACTGCTGGCCCTAGGAGGCAGGCAGCCTACCATCTCAAGCTGCGACGCGACCGAGAAGCGTGCCCAGCCAGGACATTCTGATCCCAGCAGCTGCTGCACCTGCTAGATGTCGTCATGGGAGAAAGGGGCACTCCAGTGGGACACATGCGCACTTCGGTATCTTGAGAGGGAGAGCGCTGCCAGACGTTCACACACGCGGAATAGTTGGCCCAAGCATCTCATTCCTTCGAGGTCGACCGTCGCCGCTCCGATATCGTCAGCGCACCAGCGAGCCAGGCCTCTACGCCGAGACTCGAGCTGGCCCTCGCGAGCAGCAGTGAACGGGGAGACAGCAAGAGCGAACACCGTGCCAGAGAGGGGGTCTCCTGGGAGTACACCTGACCTGATGGCGGACATGACCGCACGCATCGGGGAAGTGTCCAGGCCACGGGCGTCCGCGTACGGAATCATGATGAGCTCGAGAGCACCGCTCGGTCGTTCCCAGTGCTTGAGTACACACTCGATCCAATCGCGGCGGACACTCGGGAACGCCCGCGCGAAGTCGAAGCTGAAGAGGAAGGGCCCCCCCCCCCCAGAAGCAGCTGGCCCGTGACACCCACGCGCCTCCATCGAGCGCATGGAGGCGATGCGTGCGAGGCCATCCATCTCGATCACGTTCTCAATGAAATTGCGGTGCTGCACGAAGCCTCTCTGGCTGAAAGGGACCACCTTGGCGGCCGCGACGCTCAAGCACCTGTCGGCAGCGCTCGCAATGGCCTTTGCACCCGTGTTATTCAGCATCAGGGGCCTCGCGTCCGTCGGGTCGCGCACCACCTCAGCACCCTCCGAAACAAGAACCTTCTCCGGGGGGAACGCGCATGCTCCATCACTGAAGCCGTCATGCATGAGTCTTCCACTCGCTATCCATTCCATGGCTGCCGCGAGGGCGTCAATGCCATATCGATGGGCCCGCCACGCAGTGGCGGGAAGACCGTCAGGGCCAGGCATGGCGGGCTTGGTTCTCGCCAGGGGCAGCTCGATAAGCTTCGACGGCGGCGAGGGGGTCGTGCCCCAGTCAGGCTTGCGAGCACCGTACTTCGCCAAGAAGGCTCACGCCTGGCGAGAGCGCTGCTCTCGCTCAGCAAGCGCCTGACTCGGCGGGCAGAAGACCTTGCCCCAGTGGGCCGCCAGCCCAGCGTTCAGCTGCCCCACCGTCTGCGTCTTGACCCCGTCGATGAGGAAGGCGCCGAGGTAGCGGCGGGGCGGCGGCGCCCACGATGCCGAGCGTCGCTGGAGAGCCCGCAGCTGTCCTCGCAGCCGTCCACCGGGCGAAGCTTCCAGCCCTCGCAGTAGCTCAGCACCCGATGCGTTGGCGTCCTTCCTCTGGGCGAGGGTGTGGCGGCGCTTGATCTCGGGGGCATTCGTGGGCCGCCCGCCCGCAACCTCGTCGATCTCCATCATCTCGTTCAGCCATGTGCGCCTCTCCAGCAGCATCGCGCCCATCTTGCGATCGCGACGGGCCAGGGCGCGGGCGGCCTGCCTGTAGATCATGGCAACCGAGCTCTTGGACCAGGAGACATGGCGAATAAACAAGTCACGCACCTCAAGGGCAGCAGCCTGCAGGAGGCGGGCGCGCGCGGCGTCGGATGTCCGCCGACGTCTCCTCCAGCGGCACGCCTGAATATACTGTTCGATCCTCCATTTGAAACTCTCATGCTGGATGATGTGGGCCGCAATCGGGGCAGGCTTGTCACGGGGGCGCGCCGCCGTGGGCCGCGCGCGCCAAGTGACCCAGAACGGGCCGTGATCAATGGCATTCTGCCTGCGAAGTTTCTCAGGCTCGCCATGCACCCCCGCAACCTGCGCCGAATGGCCGAGGGGCCAGGGCGGCCACCCCGCGAAGATCTTGTCGATCCTGGAGGCATGCCCACGCGCAGGGGGCCAGTGGGTGGCTCGCGGTGCGACCGTCTCGGCGGCGCCACGGAAGCTCTGAGCCCGTCGTCTCTCCTGGGGGTGCGCAGCGCGAGCGACGGTGTGCTGAGGGAACTCGAAGTTCTGGTGCCCCGGGTGGTCACCGAAGTTGAACTCGCCTGAGATCACGACAACGCGTTCATCAGGTCTGAGGGCTGCCCATCCCAGATCACCTTGAATGATGTCTGGCACCTGTCTTGCAACCGCAGCAGGCACGTCAAAATTGCGGACGTTCCAATGCGCAAAAACTTTGCGTCCACGCTGCTCCTTCACATCGTCGTAGTAGGCCGCGGCGACCCGCAGGATCTTACCAGGTACGATCTCTTCGCCTTGCCATAGAACTTCACCTGGGGTCTTAAAACAAGGGAAAGGCGTGGCCAGTCCGCCTGAGCCTTCGCGTTCACCTGGAACGAACGAGGAAGAACTTGTGCCCGAACTCCTGCTTTCTTGAGGAGGTCTCGTAGGCTGAATTCAGAACCATGCACTTCCTGAAGACCCAGTACCACGCCCTCCTGCCAAAACTTGCGGAGGAACGTCGTCCGCCTCATAGCCGTGCGAGCTTCATGGTGACAAAGCGCAGGGCAGTTCCAAGTGCCCATGCTCAAGACTCCTGCACGTCCCCATACTCGAGCAAATTTGCTAAAGTACCCACTCTTGAGCTTCTGGTTCCACGAGCGGCTGCGCTGCGTCATTGAGACTCGCGCGGTTGACCCCGTGTGATCCAGCGCCCTTGCGTTCCACTGCGCTGCCGGCGTAGCACCTGGGGAGGGAACGGAAACTTGGAGGAACTGGCGCCAGTTGAGCGAGAGCGTGGCTTCGGTGCGCCGCGGGGCAATGGGGTTGACGAAGACCCGCTGACAGACGACGGGTTCCACCATCTTGCGCATCTTCTTCGCCGCGATCTCCCGCGCAACCTGCCGTCCGTTCTTGTCCACCGAGAGGAAGATCGGGGTGGGTCCGCCAGTGGGAAGCCACGACGAGAGCTCCCTCCATGACAGGTCTCTGCCCTGGCCGATCCGCATGCGTCCCAACAGGTTGCGCAACGCCAGGCTAGCGTTGCCCTCCATGCGCATGAAGAACTTCGTGCCCATCTCCTCCCCCTCGAACTTGAACTTGCCGTCAAGCTCCGCGAGCATGACCACCTCTCGCAGAGCTCCCTCCATCGTGTTGATCGGGATCGGGGCCTTTGACGTGACGACGACCACCGCTCTGTCGATGTCGCGCGACCATGCTGGCCCAGGCGATGGTGGCACAGGGCGAGTTTCCTCCATGATGCCGATGATGCGACCCATGCGCCGCATCTCCGCGTCCAGCCTCGCGGTGGTCTCAGCGACATCCTTCTGTGCCCGAACCATATCTGCTCGGTATTCTTCCACATCGGCACGTAGTTGGCTGTGACGTAGCTCCTACGCTCGGACACATGACTTGACCTCCTCAACCTGGGCCGCCAACGCAGCCTGTACTTGTCCCATGCCATTGGACAGGATGGAGCCAAGCGCAGCGCCCTGTCTGTCGAACGCCGACTGCAGCTCAGCGCGCATGGAGTCCACGAGCGCCGCGGCTGAGGGCTGGGTCCACTGGGCGGCGTGCTGGGCGTCTCCACCCCCTGAGCTGGCTGGAAGAGTCGGGGTGGGCAGCTGCGAGGCATCGCGCAATTGTGATGCAGCGTCGGCCCATGGATCATGATGTCCTGCAGCGCGCCCTTGATGGCCTCCCTCCCGCCCAGGACCCACGGGTGGAATAGCCACATCCGCAGCATCCACCTCCTGCGTCGGGAAGGTCGGTGCATCTGCAATTTCTCTTGCGATCTGGCCCGGTGCGACGCCTCGGACTCCTGCTGCCTCCAGCGCCCTCTGCCAGTCCGTAGTCGGCTGTGGCGGCTGCGCACGGAAACGACCTTCACCTCGAGGCCACGCCGATCGACGGGGGGGCTGGGGCCGCGGCTGCGCCCTCAGCAGGAGCGTCACGAAGCTCACGACGACGGCGACTGCGGCGCCCACCGTTGCCCCCGCTGCGGCTTTTAGAGCGGGCAGACGCGACAAGCGTGGTGCTCGCTGAGCGTGCTGACTGCTCCGCGCTCTCCCCTTCCATGGCGGCCGCTCTGTGCCTCTGGGCGCTCAGGGCGGCAGGAACGGGAAAAGCCTCCGTTTACCCACCGCCCCAAACGCAAGGATCGAGAGAAGAAGGCACTGCCAGACGTCAAGAAGTTTTGTTTGCCGCGGCCTAGCGGTATCCGCTGTCTCCCCAGGGGAAGACATGGCCTTGAGCCACAACGGCTACAGAGCAGGAGGAGGAGGAGGAGGAGGAGGAGGAGGAGGCGGAGGAGGCGGAGGAGAGGGGGGCGGCAGGCCCTACGGCGGAGACAAGGACCAGAAGAAGTTGGCGGAGTGCGGCAGCAGGTGGTGGGCGTCGGGGTCATTCGCGGGTGGGGGTCTGGGGCAGGCGGTTCTCGCGAGAGACCCCAAAACGCCCACACGAGGCTTCCAAACGGCCCCCGAGAGAGGAGGAGGGAAAAACACGAAGGACAAATTATAACGACGAACAAGATCTGAATCACCCAAACACGACGCGGAAAACCGTGTCACATGTTACTGCTCTCCCATGCCTCGGGGCATGAGGTGTCACCCGTGACGGCCTCCTATGCGCTCCTCGAACAATCGCCATCCTGAGTGCTGAGCTGGCACGGTGGCAGTACTTTCCGCAGGTAGCTGGATATCGACCAATAGGCAGCGTAGGCACACGGGCTCGATTGGACTGAACTGGCAATTCAAGGCCCCGATCTCTGGGGTGGGAGGCAATGATAATATATCTCCTGGAGCACTCCCCACCACCCCCCGGACAGGGAGGAGAATGTCGAGGGTGCGTGGTAAATCCCAGAATCGCAAGGTGTTGGTGGCACTGGCGAAACATCTGATCAAATGCCCGTGCGAGCGCCATCCCGACCAATCCCCCCCGGATGTAAGGGTCCACGCCGATATACGACAACCCACGGTTCCTTTCTAGCAACCTCTGGCTGGTGTTAGCAGCCTCAACGCCGATCTCGGCCATCGACAAACTCTTGTACGAGATGCCCAGCTTGTCAAGGAGGTGGCTCAAGGCGTCCCATCGCTTCCCAGGAAGTCGCCCGCCCCGCGATGCTAAGGCGAAGAGATGTGTGAGAGCCAAGGGCAAGACACATACTTGGGAGACATGCGCCTCCTCCGAATGAGCATCCTCATCCTGATGATCATTTCTCATGTCCCTCCCCCATCCTGCTGTCTCTCCTCCTTTCTCCACCTCGTCCTTATCTCTTCTCGTTCCTCCTCCTCCTTCTCCTACTCCTCCTCCTCGTATCCGTCCTTCTCTGCATCCTCCTGCCTATCCTGCCACTCTTCCTCATCCACTCCACCTTCTCCTGTTCCTGCTCCACCTCCTCTGCCTCATCCACATTGTCCCTGGTCCTCCTCTTCCTCCTTCGGGTCACCTCCTTCTCAAAAGTGAGGGGAGGAAAGAAAGGGAAGAACGCCGTACGAATGCCCATCCACGCCCACACGTGGACTCGGTTGAATACCGCTCGGGCCACTCGGGCGAACCCCTCCCTGCTCCAAATACTCCCCAAATTGCGCTTGCACTCGGGGGCTTTCACGTGCCTTCAAATTGGTAGGGTCCGCCAAATGTTTGGCCAGTCCCCGCTTGTGCGCCTCGTGGCCGCGGTGCGCGCAATGGATTTCCGGCTTTTCAGCCAGTGAAACTCGGTGGACGTCTCGCGGAAGCATTGTGCGCTGGCTTGCGTTTGCGCCCCATAGCTCATAGCCAACACATCACAACTTGCACCACATCGATTGCACCCCATAGCTTGCAACACACAGCTTGCACGACACGGATTGCATTACACATGTTGAACTCAATGTGTTCTTCTCCGCTGAACAAATAGAATATGCCTCCGTGCCAAGGCTGGACGTATGCCCTCCACTCCGTGTTCGGTGTGTCATACCTCTTACTTTTGGGACGCACGACCGCTCATTCGAAACATTTTAGTGCCAGCCAGCGCGGTATCGCCCCCCCTCACCCCTGCAAAACATTAGAATGCGGTGCGCACGCGCTGATCTAACAAATGCGCTGCGTAACAACAACCATCGGGCTATTATGCGGGCCCTGTGCCCACGCATATGTCAAAAACCATTCACAACCACCATATTTCCAAGAACATTGAGTAACTATGTCACTAAGAATTCAACCACCAGAATTGACCAAAACCATCCATTTGAGAATGCGCCTGATAAACAAAAAAAGAAACAAGATGACTGTGCGCATGCATTCGCTGAAGCCTGACCGGAAGAAACGGGAAGAGCCCATCTTGTCATGACGAAGGACCCAACCAGATGCAGTTGTGAGTACCGCGTTGTGACCATGGCCTTCGGTGGAGCTCACTATGGGGCCACGAAACGTGTTAGGGGTAATCCGACATAGGTGGGGAACCGAGTGCGAACTGCGCCACGGCAGCACTCGGTGGAGCTCCCTATGGGGCCACGAAACGTGTGAGGGGTGTCCCGAAACGAATGGGGAACCGCATACGACATGCGCCACGGATGCGCCACGGGGGAACTCGGTGGAGTTGCCTCTGGGGCCACGAAGCGTGTAAGGAGTGTGCCGACATTGGTGGGGAACCGCATGCGAACTGCGGCACGGAGGCACTCGGCGGAGCTCCTTATAGGGCCGCGAAGCGTGTGTAGGGTGCGCCGAAACGGGCGTGACGCCCACATGCGAACTGCACCACGGGGGCGCTCGGTGGAGCCCCCTATGGAGCCTCGCAACGTGTGAGGTGTGCCAGCACGGGCGTGACGCCCACATGCGAACTGCGTCACGGGGGCCTCATATTGAGCTCCCTTTGGGGCCACGAAGCGTGTGAGGGGTGTGCCAGAACGGGGGGGGCGGCCATGTGCGAACTGCGCCACGGGGGCACTCGATGAAGCTCCCTATGGGGCCACGAAACGTATGAGGGGTGTACGGAAACGGGCGTGACGCCCACATGCAGACTGCGCCACGGAGACACTCGGTGGAGCTCCCAACCCTATGGGGCCACGAAACCTGTGAGGGGTGTACCGAGAACGGGCGTGACGACCCTGCACGTCTGCGAGATTTGGAGAAACGTGGCGAGAGACGAGGTCCTGAGAGATCCTGTGGTCTTGTGATATGCTGGATTCCGAAGATAGGATGTGAGATTATGATGATCTGTGAGATTCCGAAGAGCATCTGCGGAGTCGGGCCACAGCGCGCTCCTCCAGGGCGCTGTGTGTTGCCAACGAAGCCCTGGATGGACTCTACACCCGACCCCTTGAGGCGAAAGGCCAACAAATTCGCAACCAGGGACGGCGAAGCGAAGCGATCGAACCTTGCAGCCTGGGACCCGCTCCTGGGAACGAGGATGCGCAGAATCGAGACTCGGTCAAGGGAGCCAGGAAGTATCCAGGACTGGTTTCAGCAGATTACCTCCTACTGGATCAGGATACCATGCGCCCACCCGCCCCGTAGGAGAACAGGACACCATCTACAACGCAATGTCATCTGTCGCTCCGCTGGGTCGTGCTCAGTGCAAACCAATGCTGGCCGATGAGTGACGTAAGGCAGTGCGACCACGGATGCTGATGGGGAAGGCGGAGGGGCACATGCCTCGAAAATCTCATGGAACACCACGCGTACTAAAGAGACGTCGCCGTACAACTCGTGGACCAAGTTCTGACCGCGGGAGACGCGGCCGTTGTGCTCCTGGCACCAGATGCATCTCTCAAGGGGGGGGCGATACCCTCCCGTTCCGTTCAGCATTGATTTCATGACCGATCGTGTGCTCGGCATATTGCACATCGTCCGTGCGACCATAATCGCACAGACTTCCCAACGCAGCTTGTCGACACTGTGGAGCGCAAAATCTTCCTGTGTACCCAAGACCTTTGGGTTACACTGCGTCAGTGAATGGGAACCGGCACGCGACGCATGCAGAGCGCGCGCACAGGCAAACCGGTGCGATCAAATTGAAATACATCGTCGTCTGTTTGAACTTACGCAAGCAAGAAGCCAGCGGGTCATCAAAACAAGGGAGCGGCAAAAACACAAGAGGTTTCAGGGGGCCAGCCTTCAAAGCCGCACGGTTGTCTTCGGATGTTTCCTCTCAGGCGGCCGCTACAGAACTTCATGAAGCTACACACTTACGCGCGCGCACACACAGAAAAAAACATAACGCAAACGCAAACGCGCACACACGCCCACCTGCCCACCCACATGCTTGAAATAATGCTCGTGCACACACACACAGTGTGCTCCTTCTCCAACGCTGTGTGTCACGAACGGGCAGTCAAGTGACCAGGTACGTAGGCATAAACTGCAATAGGGTGTACGTCGAGCGACAACGCTTAAGCCGACGCCGTGGAATCCAAGGTGAAGGGCGGGCCAGGCGAGCAGGCAAGAAAACAGGACGTGGGAAGCAAACGCGGCATTCAAGCGAACCATCAGTGCCGAGAGGTCCATCTACAGCAACCCCCAGGTTGGCGGTGAACGCCGTTGGGGTGGGGGGAGGCCTGGCGAGCGCCCACACGGCCGCGAGAACACGAAGATCGCAGAGCCGGCAGAGTCTCTGACAGTGGTGCAAGCGATGCCGCCAGAACGCCACGGAGGCCTCGGGGAAAGCACAGAGTGCCGAACGCAGGAAGGTGAGCAGAAAGAAGGCCTCCACAGCCAAACAATCTGGGTGGCAGTGCGAGCCCCAAGAAAGCCCGTGTCGGCCATGGGACACCTTGGGACGGCCCGTGTCGGCAATGAAATCTCAATGTGGCGCCGCCGCGACAGATGGAGCCTGCAGGAACGTCCACCGAACGTCCAGGGCCAGCGAATGCGCCAGGATGTCATCGCGCACGTAGAAACACTGTGCTGTAAATGTTGCTGGCTCACATCATTGTCCTTCTCCTCTTCGTCCCGACATTGCACCCGTGCCTCCTCCAATTGTTTGTCCAATGTCGGGTCTCGTGGACGCCTCAGGGATCATACGAGTTATAGCTGCTCTCAACAAGTATGACGCGCATGTGTACATATGCCTCCTCGCTCTTGTCCACTTATCCTTTTCTCCTTCCACCCATGTCGAACATTGAAAGGTAGCTGCCCTCTTTACTGGTGGGCCCATAATCAAAACAACCCTTGGCACGCAGGCGAATTAGAACGAGTGGCCTTACAACCCGCGTCTCCCGTTCAGGGAGGGGTTGGTCACTCACTGACCATCACACTAACATAAAATAGTAACCGTGTTGATAGTGTGACGCGTCCGCCTCCTCCTTCTCGTCACCTCCCGCCTCATCCCTTTCCTCTCCGAATTGCCACTCAGACTCATACTCAGACTCACTCGCGCTCAGACTCGCCCAGACCCAGGCTCGCTTCCACTAAAAGTCGCTCCACTAAAAGTCGCTGAGACTCGTACTCAGGCTCAGACCCCCTCACACTCCGACCCACTCACACACAGGCTCATTCAAACTCAAGCCCATCCACATTCAGAATCACTCACACTCAAATCCCCTCACACTCAGTCCGACTCAGATTTACACCCACTCACACAGACCGCAAGCAGGTATAGCTCACCAAAGTGAGGGGGCCGAACAGTCATTGACTGTCCCTGGGTGCGTGGCTGAAGTGGAATTCCGCGATGCGGATTCTTATTGTTGTTGTTGTTCGTTGTGTTGTTTGGCGTCGTCCCCCCCACGACCCGGCCCGCGACCCACCCGCGACCCACCACGCGACACGCCCGCGACCCACCCGCGACCCACCCTCGACCCACCCGCGGCCCACCCTCGACCCACCCGCGACCCGGCCCGCGACCCGCCCACGACCCACCCACGACGCACCCCGCGACCCACCCGCGACCCACCCGCGACCCACCCGCGACCCACCCGCGACCCACCCGCGACCGGGACGCGACCCACCCGCGACCCACCCACGACCCACCTGCGACCCACCCACATTACTTTGAAGAGAAATCGGCGCCTGCGGCGGGCACGTTGTACAACTTGTAGAAATCAGGCGCCTGCGGCGGGCTGTTGCAGAGCCTCGCAAACTGCAGGTGTGCCGCCACGGGTCAGGACACTCAGGACTCGCGCCCAGATTGTGGGAATGCCTCAGGCGGTTTGCCTGTTTCGCCCCCCCCGACTTCCTCTGGTGGTGCGTGCACTGGTCACCGGGATATAGCAGGCGTGGCATTTGGGCACCCCAACAGGGAGCCGCCAGAGGGGTGGGGACATTTCATCGCTCGCGCCCAGAATGTGGGGATGTCTCGAGCGGTTTGCCTTTTTGGTGGCGTGGATTCGTGTGCTTGCAAAGCAAAATGTGAGAATGTCTCGAGCGAGGCGTTGCTTTCATGGCGAAACGTGAGGATGAACGAAAATTTGCGATGCGATGGCAGGACGAGGAGGAGGAAGACGGAAGAGGAGGGGGTACGATAACGGAAAAGGAAAATGAGAATATGCGAACAGGCTGACTGAACGGATGTCTCGAGCGAAGCGCTAGTGTCAGCAAGCCGTGGAGAGCCGCCAGATCGGGTTTCAGTGGCTCATATCCCCCTCCCCCTCGTCTTCCATATTCACACACGCTTTCAGACTCACTTGCACTCTGACTCCCCCACACTCAGAGTCACTCATCGACTCGTTCACATTCAGATTCTCACCAAGGCTCACACTCAGACTCACGCACAATCAGACTCACGCCCATACCAACTCACGCTCAGACCCATCATTCCGATAGTCTCTTAAATTCTGCCTCACTCACACTCAGACCCACTCAGACTCAGACCCACCAACACTCAGACACACCCGCACTCACACTTGCTCACACTCAGACTTGCTTAGTTACGCTCAGACCTGCTTACACCCATGCCCACTCAAATTCACTCGCGTTCAGACTCGCTCACACTCAGACTGACTCGCGCTCAGACTTGCGACGAATTGCAGACTCCGGGGATGTCTCAAGCGAGCGGCCCGCTCACGCACATTGACATGTACCCACGGAAATGGGAACCAGCGTCGAGTAATTGCATGGGTTGTTGGAAACGCGTTTTGCTCGCAACCGCAAGCGGGCAGCCGCGCGGCTTCGACAGTCGAGTGAAGCCAGGCCTACGTGGAGCAGGGCGAGAGCCTAAACAACAGCTGGCAAGCGTGGAAAACAAGCAGGGCAGGGGGAAGGGGGGTGCGGCGGACGAGCAACGAAGAAGAACGGGCGACTAACGCGGCACAGCTGAGAAGCTTACGACCGCGCCCAAGCGCACCAGTGAACCCGTCGTCCTCGGAGTACGTGCGCAGCAACGTGTGACCGCATGAGGCCTGCGAGGTCGGCGTCAATCAGATACCGAGAGCCGATCGGCGTGAGCCCGCCGCGTGGACGCGCGTGGAAGAAACGCGTCCATGACCCTGCATCCCAATATCCCAACCGCCAGAACGAGTCGACGAAGGGGCATGGCCACTGAAGGGCATGCGAGCTGCTGTCGCGAGAGCCGACCAGGAAAATCGAAAGCTGCCAACCCAGCTCGCCCATCAGGGCCGCCGCGGGACAGCCGACGCAGAACGAAGGGCCCACCGGCCCGCGCGCCCCAGGGGGGGGCGCGGAGGGCCTGGGGCGCGCGGAAGATGGGGGGCGGCTAACAGCCGCAGAAAATGGTGGTGATTCAGTGGCATCGCAACTAACGGCCACGGGGAATGGGTGCACAATTGCGAGTGGGGTCGCAGCTAACAGCCGCGGAGAAAATGCGTAAAGGGCGGGCCGTGGGCCTCCTGCGGCGGGATAGCCGCGAGAAGCAGCGGGCGGGGCAAGGGGGCAGTCGAACCGGGGCGCCTATTGTCAGCATGCCTCGACGCCCCGGGGGGGGCGTCGGCGCGTCGGCGAGACAGTCGCGCGTAAGTTAGCGCCCCTGGTGGACGCAGCGAGGGCAGCCACGCTGAGAGGGGGGGCGGCTAACAGCCGCGGAGATAGTAAGAAGACGATCGGGCCTGAGCATCTCTGCGGGTAGCCGTAGAGTGGGGGCGGGGGCGCGCGGTGAGAACGCTGCGCGCAGGCCCTGGCCCCCCGGGGGGGGCGCCACGGGCGCGGGCTGAGTGCGAGTGGCGCCTGCGGCTAACACCCGCGGGTAATGGAGACGCGGTGGAGAGAGCCTCAGAGGAGGGGCGACGAGGAAGGTGCGAGAGGCAAGGGGGGGCGGCCAACAGCCGCCCGCAGTGAGTGTGGACAGAGTGCGAGGCAGCCGGGCGGGAAACGGCAGGGGCCGGGCCGCCGGGCTGGATGGTCAGCGAGGGCCCGGCGCCAGTATGCAGGGCAGCAAGGGGCTGCAAAGGGGGTGCCGCAGGGGCTCTAGCAGTAACCGGGGCCCACTAGGAAGGGTCCAATTCCCGACCGCCCACAGCGTGCCGGGGGGGGGCGGCAATCATCCAGGGGGAGAGAGGCAGAAAAGTGGCGCCCCGGGAGGGGCTCTAAGGCCTGGGACGGGCCGCCAGCCCCAGCTGCGCACGTCCAAGGTGGCATTAGCGCACACAAGAAGGCGCGCAGGAGGAGCCGACCAGCCCCGTGGCTAGGAGGGGTGGGGGGGGCTCCAAGGGGCGCCCCGAGGTAAAGTGTGGGGCGTCCACGAGCGCCGTTGTGTGCGACCGCCTGAGCGGTCTGGGCGAGACCTAAGAGTACGCCCAGGGATGGCGCGAGCCCGCTGCCCTCCTGGGTTCCACCGTTCTTGTCCACCGGTCGTCGCTGTC